CACAAAAGCTGCCGCCGTAGCTCGACGAACCAAGGCCGAAGGTATATAGAAAGGACGCGGAAAGAATCCGTTACGTTCGATAGTCGATGCAGCATTGTGGTGGAGGCGGAGAGGGGGGAGGGGGGGGGAGAGGGGGGGGGGGGGGGCGAACACTGCGGGAAAAGGAAAATGAGCAGGGCCTGTAAGAGATTTTATATCGAGTACGCCCTCAGAATGCCGACAAGTTTATGCCGTTGCCCATTTGGGATATGCGCCGTGCGCCGGCTGTGCGGGTCGGATCGGTTTCTCTTTCAGTGACGGCATGTTTGTTTTATTCTATAAAGTTTTGTCAACGCGTAGCCGAAGAGACACCCGCTAAAAGTAGATGGAGCTTTTTTTTTTTTATTTTTTAAACGAATAAAGTACGAGAAAGTTGCGTTCGCAAGACGGATTGTACACTGGCATTGTAGGAAAGTATATTGCAAGATCTTTTAGACTGACCGCCGATAGTTCGAAACAATACGATCAGTTGTCAGTTATGTGAATTATGGAAAATCATTATTGATCGCCTATTTGATTTCTTTCGAATAAAACGTACATTTGGAGAGAAAAAAATACGTGCCTCATTTTACTTTAGAGATTGTCACCGTTAGCTTGACAGAGCAAGGGTGTGACTGTGCTGAACACTCGCCTTTCTCTGAGCGGTTGCAGTGCTTAGCACACCAGGTGATGTGTGGGAAAGTTGACGCGCAGTCACAGGTTTTAGAGGTAAATAACTCCGTTGTAAGCAAAGCATTGTAACTGTGGGTAGACATTATGCCCCGGTTGCAGTGCGAACCACACGTGTAATCGAAATATACGATCGGTGATCTTTTCTGTTCCCACGGCTTTCAATCTTCCTTTCGTGTTGTTGTTTCGGTCACAACCACTTGGAAAAACAAGCAAAATGGAACTTTTCAGGACTAAGATCTGCGTGCAGATATAAGTTCAACTTTCTCGGCGAGCCAGTCGACAGGTGCACGCTGCATTCGTTTATTCCACCATTTAGTGCCCGTAGGCCGCATTTTAGTCACTAAGGATGACCACTTTCAGTTTTCTGGAGTAGGCGATAAGTGACGCAGAGGTCAGTAAACCACTTGATGTTTTTTATGGACGCCATCTAGACAAGTTAAACTGTAGTAACTCGTCATTCTTCATTAGCTTTTCATAATTATTACAGAAATACAGAAAACATTCTAGGTTATAAAGTCACTGACAGTCGAATACACGCAAGGTGTGGCTTGTTAGGCTCACTCCCCTTGCTCCGTGATTTGTGGTTCTATGTTCTTATCGGCTCATGCCGCAACCTAATTGGTTGCAGCGCAGCATTAAGCTGATCGGAAATCGCCACGCCCCCCTTCGGTTATTTAAACTGTCAGAGATTGTTCGCGATTCCAGCCACCTATGGGGGTTGCCACTTTTGGGCAAAGATGGCGGTGGAACACAGGTCGTGCCATGACGTGTGCCAGCTCGGAATTCGGGCCGTTCGTCAAAGGAAAATTCGTGATAAGGCTACTCGTAGCATGGAAGTTCATTACATAGGGCAATTCGTCATAGGGCGAGTCGTCACTGGGACGAGGTGTCGAAAAACTGGAGATACAGTCGAGCCCACTTATAACGGCCCCACTTAAAACGAACGTTCGGTTAATACGAACAATTTCTCATCCCCAAACATATTTCGCAAGAATCCTGCACAAAACGGCCCACTTTTAACGGCCATTTCTGAGCGCAATTCTCGGATAGAACGAACGAAACGGCGCTGACGGCGCCGCGACCTTGGCTGCCGGCGGAGATAAGGCAGGGGAGAGGAGGCGCAAAACGCGGAGGAGCACCGGCAGCGCAACACCCCGACAGCGTCGGGTTCTTGGGGAGGGGGATGGGGAGGGAAGAGGGAACGAAAGGGGAAAGCAAGACAATCAGGCCTCCCAGCCCAACGCTTTGCACGCGTTCTGCTCGAAGCGTTGGGGCCGTGTGCAAAGCCCCCTTTTTTTTTTTTTTGCATTTTTTTATTTTTTTTTATTTTGAGTGTTGGGGTTTTGCGGTCTTTTGTCTTTCGTTCCGTCTGAAGCGTGTTGCCTCTCGTCGTTTGGTTTCGGCATTTCGGCTCGACCTCCGCGCAATCGTTCAGTCTACGGCGTCTACGGTCACTCGCCGAGTCATCGATCGTTATGTCGGACATTGCTTCAACTGCGAAGAAACGCAAGGCGATCGACATGGGCACGAAATCTGCAATCCTTCAGGAGCTGAGCGCAGGGGCGAAAAACGGCGAACTGTGCAAGAAATATGGCTTATCGAAGTCCACCATTTCGACGATCGCCAAGGAAAAGGAGAAGATCATGGCAGCAATGAGCATGAATGGTGACTGCAGTGCTCGAAAACGGCTGCGGCACGCCGCGTACAAAGACGTCGAAGACGCTCTCTTCAAGTGGTTTCTCGACGCAAGAACTATGAACGTCCCCATCAGCGGACCCCTGCTGCTTGGGAAAGCCAGGGACTTCGCGTTTCTCCTGAATTTCACGGAGTTCAGCCCTGGAAACGGATGGCTCCATCGCTTCAAGGAGCGCCACGGGATTGTTTACAAGTCCATCGTCGGGGAAGGGGCATCCGTGGACATAGAGAGAGCGGAGCAGTGGCTTGCTGACAACCTGGACGAGATCTACAGCTACAGTGAGCGAGATGTCTACAACGCGGATGAAACTGCGTTGTTTTACCAGATGAGGCCTGTGCGTACGCACGCGTTAAAGGGCGACAAATGCGTCGGTGGGAAGCACAGCAAGGTGCGGATAACTGTGCTCCTGTGCTGTAATGTAGACGGCAGCGACAGGCGCTTGCCGTTTGTGATTGGAACGGCGAAGAAACCGCGCTGTTTCACCAACCCCCTGCCCGTACGGTACCGAGACAGTGCCAAGGCTTGGATGACTCGGCAACTCTTTGCCGAATGGCTCACGGAGCTTGACAATGCCATGGTCAAGCAAAAACGAAAGATCCTGTTGATCCTGGATAATTGCTCAGCTCATCATGTGAACCCACAGCTGAATGCTGTGACTTTGATGTTCCTCCCTCCGAACGCCACTGCCAAGCTCCAACCCCTCGACATGGGGATCATCAGAAATTTCAAAGTGTGCTACCGCCGCCGCGTCATCGAAAGGCTGCTCATCGCAATCGGCCGACCAAGTGCGCGAGGGCCTCAGCTGACAATTTCTCTCATGAACGCAGTGGAAATGCTGAAAGCCTCCTGGATGGAAGTCAGGTCTGGCAGCATCAAGAACTGCTTTCGAAAAGCTGGGATTTCGTTTTCTCCTGCGGAGCAATCTCCTGCGGAAGCAAGCCAAGACGATGCGCAAAGCATCGACTCGACCCTGTGGACCCAAGCCGTTGCTGCTAGTCTGACAGAGGAAGGGCAGACGTGGGACGACTTCGTTGACGCCGACGAAGATGTCATCGTCTCGGAGAGCGCCTCCGATGAAGCTATCGTGCGGGAGGTGCGGCAGGACATCGCGGCGTCCGACGACGAAGAGGACGACGAAGACGACGTCGGCGATGGGGTTGCTCCCTCACCTCCGGTTTCGACAGCGACGGCTTTGGGGCACATAGCTTCGTTGAAGCAGCTGGTGTACGCACGGGGACTGAGCGATGTTCACATCGATCAGCTGAGCAACCTGGAGAGCGCTATAATTGGATCTGCACTGCGGAAGCAAACAGCGATTACGGACTTCCTTGAATAAACGCCATGCACATCGATCGCAGGTGTTGCGCTTTCCAATCCGTGCCGTGCTTACTTATTTATCTTGAATTTTAAGGGTAAGTCCATTTATAACGAACTTCTCTTTGAGCGAACGCGTTTCGTGTTGTAGAAGGGTTCGTTGTAAGCGGGCTCGACTGTACAGGTAATTGTTGATAACTTTCTATATTTGCCTTATTCATCGCGCATGAGCAATGGACAATTTTTTATCTCGTATTTATAATGCCCTGGATATGATTTTGAAGGTCAACGTAAGTTTTCCGCTTCACCGAATCCCTTGGCGTTCCTGAAGTCACTAAAAAAGGAGCAAGCAATGAGAGAAATGAAGCTCAGTCAAGCTGCGAGAAGGGTCATCTCCACGAGGGTATCGCAAAAGCAGTCGCAGCATACGAATGGCGACTTCGGGCGATTCTCCATCTTTATGACGGGAGCGATAACATTGACATCGTCGAGGCATGAGCCAGGAATGTATCATTGGGAACGACTATATTTTCAGTAGAGTGACACGAATTGCTTAAAGGGAAGATGGGGCACTTCTGCATTTGACAGAAAAACTCTTGAATTGCGTTCATTTGGCCTTTAGAATAGCAGATATCACAAGTATATTTCAGTGCGACGCGCTGGAGAGCCATACGAGCAATTTCAAAATAGGGCTGAAGCCCCGCCTCCTTAGCCTTGGGCAGCCAAAAGATTAGTCGATGACGTCCCGTACAGCGACTTTGTTTCGCGTTTTCTCGCGTTCTACAATACGTGAACAGCAAATGGTTTGGGTATTCGGGTTCCCGGTGTAAAAATACACTAGAATTCACTCCTAACTCATTTTATTCAAGAAGCTCCGTAGCTTTTCTTTAACGTGTATTTAACGAACTTAAATAAGTGCTTCTTTTTTAACGTGAAACGTACGTCTTTGCGGAGTTTTTGTCTGTGTCTGCGCAGACACAAACTGCGGTTGCACGACAGGGGTGGCATGAGCATGACATGGAAAGGATGTAACTCGTGCGCGTGCGCGACATGAAGACTGCGCTGAGCGACATGAAGACTGCGCTGCGCGACACAGCCACGAACTGCGCATGCGGGGCACAGCCACAGACTGCGCATGTGGGGCCGAAAAATTTCACGTAACATCTCACAATACACCCCTCCGAAATTCAGTCTGTTCACTTCGATAACTGTCATCACCCAAGTGTCGGCACATGCCAATGGCAGCCTTTCGGTGGATACTGAAGAACGAATTTGACGACAGGCACCTACGCGGAGCTTGGAGATTCCAGACGTTAGCTCGTTGTCACCGTGACGAGACGTATAAGCTGATATGCCACACACATTTGATGGTGTCATGTAAATTTTTGAAACGCTTGAATTCGGCACGACCTAGAAAACTCATGACAATGAAGTGCTATGAATGTTATGAAGAGTTTTACTAAACTAAGCGCCTCGTATGTAGTGGTAGTTTCTTGACACCACCAAAAATGAAACGAAAATAGAGAAAAACCCGCAGAGCGAAGAACACCCTAAGTTTCGTACGCCTGCGGTTGATGAATAGGCACTAGATTTTTAACCGTCATTAGCACACAAAACTGCGGAATGATATTTTAGCCACTATGCTCGTGACAGCTTTTCTTGACAATGCAGTGGACGGTACAGGCACGCATTCTATATTTCATTTTGAGCGCGCTGAATAAGGCTGTGCGCGAACTCTCCTCAACTTCCACTGCATTGCCAAGAAAAGTTGTCGCCGAGTATAGATGGGTGGCGACCATACGGGGAGAGCTTGGCGCTACTCCCCCACGATCCAGTTACTTGACTCGGCGCTATACTTTCCCAGAATCGAGTGCTTTTTGTCACAGTGTGCGTTTAAGCAATCGTGGAAGGTCGACCACAGCGACGTTTTTTGTCGCGCACGTCGCCAACGGCTGAACGCCGACGCAGCGTTGGTGACCAATCAGCGGCCCGTGCTTTTGTCCCACAGGTGACGTGGCAGATGTTGCTTCATTGCGGCGACTGAAACTTAACATGGGCTTGAGCTTTGGCCGGCCGAGCAATAGACCTTTCACATATTCAGCGCGATTTAGTGGCTGAAATATCAGTCCAAGTTGCTTTATGCCAATGGCAGATAATATCCTGTACCAACGGTAGACGTACGGCAGTTCCGGTGTTGTTTGCTGAACACCCATTTTGTCTATCTACTTCAGTTTCGATGGTGTCAAGAAAGTACCACTTTGTACGAGGCGCTTACATTTTATGATCATGAGCTGTCTGGGGCATGCCGAAGCCGAGCATTCCAAGGCTTTATGTGACACCCTTAAATGCGTAGTGCATAGAAGCTTGTAAGCCTCGTCACAGTAATAAGGAGTATTCACTGGGCGCCATATTTGTGGGTGCTGTCTAGAGCGCATGCTCGGAACGAGCCCACATTAATAGGCTGCTAGGACCGGCAATCTTGAGGGTGCGGAATGCACGTTACAAAAGAACTATGGAAGCTCGCCATCAGCACGCGCTCAGCAGTCGCGTACACAGCTATGGCCGCCAGTGAATACTTCGTATACAGCAATCTAACGTCTGGATACTCAGGCTACGCATTGGTTTCTGTCTTCAAATTCTTCCGTCACCAGCCATCAAAAGGCCGCCATTGGCATGTACAGGTGATACAAATTTAGCTGATGTTTGCTACCGAAGTGGCCAGAGTGAATTTCAGAAAGGGTCTATTACCTAACAATTTGCCATTCATATTTTTCTTTCGATTAGTGACTGAGAGAGGTGCCATGATTGTGGTGGACAAAACATAAGTAATCAGTGTCTTGGAAATAAGCAAAAATCTAACATCTTCAGTCGAGGAAGAAAAAAAAAATCAAGGAAGCGGGTCGCTGGTAATTGTACTCACTTAGAGAAACCATGCTTGATAAATGTCAGAAATGTTACAAACGTAAGAAATATATGTTAATATTTTGACGGACTGTCCTGTCACGAATTGCCCTATATGACGGGTAACCCTGCTACCAGTTGACTTGTGACGAATTGTCATTCGTAGAACGGTCCTACCAGTGGCGTACCAACTTGTTTTTCAGTGAGGGAAAAAACGAGACCCCCCCCCCCCCCCCCCGAGCCTGGCCGTGCCTGGGGGCGGTGCCCTTGGTATCCCTTAAACGCCGCCGGCCAGTGTTTGCCTTGCCCAGTGGCGGCTGTTTCAGGGTGGGGGGCAAAACACATGCCTTGCCCCCCCCTCTGAGAACTGGGGGGGGGGGGGGATAGGCGCCCCTCTTGCCCCGCCCCCCCCCCCCCCCCCCCCCCGGTTGGTACGCCCATGGATGCCAGCTCGACGCACGACGCTCAGGTTTCAGCAGACAAGCATTATGCTCAAAATGGTTGGCCCCGGTTTTGTTCATGCGTTCCAAACCTGCGGCGGTGTGTTGGCGTGAGCGAACTTCCAAAGGCTCGACCTTCTTCGGGGAAGCAATGGAAGGTCTACCTACTGTCCATTTAGTGCGCCGATGAACGTTGATAAACGCATAATGTCTGGTTTACGCGGTTGTGTATAGGTTGTGTTACGAGCGACCTACAGGCAACATGCTGATACAAACAGCAACGGCAGAGTCACCGTGACCACTGAGCGAAGCACTGAGCGAGTATGAGCGGGAACGCCGAAGCGCATAGCATTCGATTCATAATGTGCTAGCTCAAGGCTGATAAACTGTGGAGTGGAGTGTGGGGTGAGAGAATGTGCGCTTATCTGTCATGCACGCCCTCGCATCCCACTCCTCCACTTCGCTGTTTCATCAGCCTCGAGGTAGCGCGGCTGCACCGAAAGCCACACGCTCCACCGTTTCCGTTCATACTATTGACCACCGGTACGCCCTACACAAGATAGAAAATACCGCAAGGCGCACCTAACTCCTTAGGCCGTTACGAGTCATTCATTTCCCCGCGGCCCTGTCATTGTTGGCGCTTTCGTTGCCTTAGACGCAATTAACGCAACTTCCCTCGCTGGCTCCGCTGGCTATCGTACCAGCCGCCGACCACACGCAATCACGGAAGCCACAACCAACGAGGAAATTCCGCGAACGAACTTGTTCCGGTCAGTTCAGTATTTTCCCGTTAGGTGCCGTCCATTGTGCTGGAGTTGCGAATGGCGGTTAACCAAATTACGTTTGAGGACACGCCGGACACGCGCAACACCAATGGCGTTCGTCCCGCCCGTCCAAATGATTGTCTAAACTCTTCCCATATACGGTCCTGGTGTTGCGAAGGCAACACCGCGTCGCGTGTGTACTTATGGAGTCACGGACCACAACTACGCGTCCCGTTACGCGCGTCCGAGAACATGACAATGGGTCCGCGAAGAAAAACCCTCGCCGAGAGGCATATATACTTGAGTTACGCGCCGAGAAACCCGATAGGACTGATCCATCGAGGAAGCCGCCCCTTTTCGGGGGTTGGAAAAACGCATTAGAGGGACAGCGGAACGCGGCACGTCAATGGGTCCGGATGCGGTATTGCCGGACGATAGCACCCGTCTTTGTCCGCCGCCGCCGCTGCCGATACACGGAGTCCCTTTCAGGGTATCCTTACGCGGCCGTGAACCAGTCTGTGTGCCATTCGGGGAGTTTGGGGAATCGTGTTACCTCTCCCGAGTTGTAATAGGGCGTACGCGACTACAATGAAGGGAAGAAGCGGACTCGGTTGCTGTGCGGTGAGGGACCAAGGTGCTCACCCTTTCACCATATAACTTACCCCCCCCCCCCCCCCCCCAAAGAAAAAAAAAAGAGGCCTTAAAGTTTCGCCTTTGTTGGTGCTAGACTGGTGGCAGCTGATAAAACCTGTTTGCTCTACTGACGTCTAACCCTTGGTTAGCTCGGTAGGTAGATCGCCCCATTGAAAACATAGAAGTCCCGGGTTCGATACCCGGACCAGGCGGACTTTTTCGGTCGCTCACCAGTCACCTAGCTGAGTTCGGAGATTTGTGTTTGTCATTTGTCCCTCTTGTTCCACTTCTCCAGGGATTATCGTTGTACAGCTCGCTTGCACCTTTGCATTTTTAATTGCATTATAATTAAAGCTGCAATAGTACTGCTAAAGCATCATATATATAAAAAAAGATAAAAAATAGTCTAAAAAAGTTTGAGGCACGA